GTCCCAATCCTGTGGCTGCTGAGAACCTTGTATGGATGGCTAGTAGCTGGCTGCCCCTAGTACTCATTAAAGCTCCTTGTGGATGGGGTTTGGAATAGGATCTGTTGAGAATATTTTTAAGGGAAGATTTTTTATCTCTCTTTAACAGAACCAATACCAAACAGTTTCTAATCCTGGTTTCTTCTGGCAGACCTTTTATAGGTAAAACCAAATCAATATGTGTAATTTGGGAGAAAATTTAAAAGGAGAAAATTTACCCCCAAATTCAGCATAACCTTTTAATTTCATCCTCTTTAATCCTTTGGTAATTTTTGTGCTTCTCCTGCAGAAAAGCAATTTTACTAATCACCTTTGTGCCAATCCCTGCATTCCTGACAATAGCGTGAACAGCTTCCATCAAAGTCTTTGATGTGGGAAAGACACACACACACATATAATCTGAAAACAATTCAGCCCCTTGGTTCTCAATGGTGAGCACTCTGCTTTAATAGAGTGCAAGTTCCGTGGAGGTTTCTAATCCTTTCTGCCAAACAGAAGAGACACAGTCAGGTAGCACACCTTATTCAGAAGTTAAAATAACATGTTACTTGCTCTCACAGAAAATCAAAACAACTCAAGATCAAAACCAGATTCCGCCAACCCTAACGGGATAGACTTTCTACTCAGATAACTCTTGATCTAAGTGTGTAACAAGTAACCTGCTTTAATCCCTCAAAGCGATGGTGTTACAGATAAGTACTGTAGTAGCAGAGGAGGTGTCTTAAGTTTCAGAAATACACAAAAGCATTGGTTGGAAGGAAAAACAAAACAAAGAGCTGTCCACATGAATGTGTCTTTAGCTGGAAAGGTGTATTTGAGGGCACTGCAAATAATAAAACCCCTTGAAGACAGAAAAAAAAATAAAACTGACAGGCAGGTATTCAAATGGTGTTTCTTCCAAGCTGAGTTTCATTGACTTGTGCTGTTAAAGCTTTACAGATATAAGCCCTCTGATTTTTAGTTTACAAACTCTGCAAGCCATGATGTTGGAATGGTCTGCTACTTGAGCTCAGAATCCTATAACTTTTCTGGAGGTTCAGAGTGGTCATGAGCCACAAAAGGACTGGGATCTTTGACTGCAGGATTTGGAAAGGATACATTATTATGATTACACTGCACTACAAAAACAGTTTTAGTAATGGTTCAGAACCTTCCTTGGTTCTTGCTCCTGCAGACTATATAAGCACTAACTTTTGCATTGTTGGGAAGATCAGTGCCTTTGGGTTCTTAGCCCATGATGCAGAGCTTTGAGAGCTCCATAGCAGGCACAGTAGCTGAAACCACGCCTGAGAACAAGTGTTGCAGGTCCATTTCTCTTAAACCAAAACCCCAAGTAATGTATGATATCTATGTTTTGGGCAAAGAATAACTATTGTTACTATGTTGTAAGGCAATTATCCATACTAGAAAACAATGCTACATTTAAGAGAAACGTATCATAATTTCGTTCTTCATATTGTGTGTATGTGTATCCTCTTTGGAGCATAGTTGACCCTCTGCACTATTACTGTGTGCAAACACGTTTCTTTTTAGCCAAATATTTCATAGTTGTTTATACCCTGGGTCACAAACTGGAGAGCACCAAGGCCCCCCTTCTTCAGACACCCTTGTCCATACTTGGTCCTGGTATCCCAGAGGGTCACACTGCATGTGTTACTTTGCACCCAGGCTCCTTCTGGTCTGCACCAAGTAGTTTTCCTTTGTAAAGGGGCACGGCCACAGACTGTGTACACAGGAGTTTGGATGCCACACAGTGCAGGGAGACTGCACTACGCAGAAGCTGCCTCTGTAGAGCAACAGAGCCTAATACCAGAAGGGACCCCTTGGACTGTCTCAGTCTGATATCCTGAGTTAGGACTCACCAGGTGAGTTCCTGGTTAAGTTTTAGTAGTTGTGCTCTAGCCAGTCTCTCTTTCTAAGGAAAAAAACCTCAAACCAAAACCAAAACCAACTGGTATTGTTTTATAAAAATCCAGTAATGGTGAAGCTACCACAAATCTTGGTAAGCTGTTTCAATAGTTAATTTTAATCCCTACAAAAGGATGCTTTACTTACGACTTTGTTTCCCATCACCTTCTGTCAAGAGATCTTGGTCTGTTAAACACAAGATCCTTATATTGCCAGATTTTTCTTCCTCTTTCAGTGCTCATAAGGTATGATCACCTCACACCTTAACCTTCTCTTTAGAAAGCTAAATAGACTGAGCACTTTGGGTCTTACTAAAAAACATGTTTGACAGTCCTGTAATCATTTTTACATTCAATCTTCTTTGAAATCCATCGAGTTTTTAAACATCCTTCTTGAAATGTTGTCTGGACAAATTATTTCCAAAGCAGTCACAACAGAGTCAAAATCAGAGGTAAAAGCACCCCCAGCTCTTGTTTTTTTCCCAGGACAGCACTAGCTCTTTGGTCACAGCACTGCAGAAGGAGCTCACGTTCAGCTGATTATTCATCTTAATGAAGTCTTTACGGAATTGCAGCTTTGCAGGATAGAGTTACATCCTTTCAGTGTGACCTACATTCTTTGTTCCTAGATGTGAGACTTTACATTTGGCTCGATTGAAATACATATGATGTGATTAGCCTAAACTTAGCATAGGGTTATGCAGCCATAAGCCACCCTTTGCCTCTTGCCCCATGCTTTGTGCCTCCTAGAAAGTTTTGCTATGAATGATTTCAGATTTTTTTCAAGTTGCTAATAAAAATATTAAATAGTGGAGGGTGCAGAAGCTGTCTCCGTGTGATGCTACTGGAAAAAGACCAACTTGATAATAAATATATCTTTACAATAACAATTTAAGATGGAGAAGCCACTCAGCTTTTAATACATTTAATGCTTCAGACATTGCCGAAGTTTATTACAAAAAGAACTGTTTCATATAAACAAAGTAAATATAAAACTGTATTCACACGAAGTTCCATAATCTTATGTTAAGCTAAATCTGTTGTATTACCCCCCCATTCCAGTTGGCTACTCAAGTCCTCTATCAGATGTGCTGTTATTTCACCTGAGTGAAAATTTCTCAAACTCAGCTTAAGAAATTTTTAATTACTTTGGACATCACTTCTTATAAATGCTGATAAAAAATTTGCTGCCTTTTGGAACTTCCCTGACTTCCAGGATGTATTAAAACTCAGTGGAAATGGACCGGTTTTGAAACTATTAAATATGAGGCTTCGAATTGGTGATTCAGTTGCACGAATATTTGAGTGCTTGAGATTACACAGACAAGATGACCTCCTGGAACAGGATGCAAGTACTGTCTCAAGGCCTGTATGCTATGGTAACCTCATTATATGCTGAAATTTATTATCCTACTCCACCCTGCAAAAGGAGATGCAGACTGTGGTGGCTAAGTGACACCTGTTCAAAGCATTCTAGGCAGATGATGAACTTCTTATAATTTATCTATTTTTTAATTTTGAGGGAGAAATTTCCTCAGCATTTCAGGCTTCTGTGGAGTGGAAAGTACTATAAGAAAGAATAACACAACACTAGACTCATATTTTCCTGCTCCACTGTCTGCGGAGGACTACTTTGCCATTTTGGACCAGAATCCTTCTGCGTTGTCAGTACTCCAGGCTCCTGTGGATGGCAACAATGACTCAGTTATTATGAACTGTTCTTTCGTGGTGGTGTGCTGGTGTATGTGTACACACACGTGTGAACTGCGAGCACTTTTCTGCCTTCACTCTGTGGAGCCCTGGAAGGAGGAATGGACTGCATGGAAGGGTGCTGGCGAAATCCATTGTAGCAGGGCCTGCTGTTACATGGGGAAGACCCTTATGTTACCTGTCCCAGGAATGTGAGAGTGTTGAAAACTGCTGTGCAGCACCAGATGACCTCTGCTGTCACTTTGTGAGTGACATGGGCTCCTGACCCTGGTCAAGAATAATTAATGAGCATTAACCACCTTGCTGTTCACCTTCCTTTGTAGGAGTGCAGTGCCTAGCTAGGGTTGCTCCAGGTGGAGCAGATGTTCTGGTTACCTGGGATCACTGTCCCCACCATTAATTGCTCACGTTATTAATGAATACTCGGATCAGGTGACACTGCTAATCTGAGATCGGAAGACAGATCCGTGAGCCGGTCGTGGGGGGGAGGGGGGGCAGCTGCACAAGGGGAGTCCCAGTGGCTCCCATTAATGAATTAATCCGCTAACGAGGGTGGGCTCGGCGGCCCGTGCCCCCTCCGGTCCCGGCAGCC